GATTTGCACGAAATTTTGCATATCATACTGAACTAAGCCAAGAGTGTTGTCTGCCAAGTTTCGAGAAGATCGGTCTAGATTTAGATATAGCTCCCATATATAGTTTCGTCCGATTTCATATAAATGGTGCCCCAAAGACCCTATATATCTTTCGATTTGCACGAAATTTGGCATAACGTACTGAATTGAGCCTAGAATGATGTCTGCCAAGGTTTGAGAAAATCGGTTCAGATTTAGATATACCTCCCGTATATAGTTTCGTCCGATTTCATGTAAATGGTGCCCCCAAAGTCCCTTTATATCTTTCGATTTGCACGAAATTTGGAATATCGTACTGAATTAAGCCTAGAGTGATGTCTGCCAAGTTTCGAGAAAATCGGTCCAGATTTAGTAAATTTAAATGGTGCCATAAAGTCCCTATATGTCTTTCGATGTGCAGGAAATTTGGCATAACGTACTGAATTGAGCCTAGAGTGATGTCTGGCAAGTTTCGAGACAATCGTCCGATTTCGTCCGATTTCATGTAAATAGTGCACCAAAGTCACCATATATCTTTCGAAATTTGGCATAATGTACTGAATTGAGCCTAGAGTGATGTCTGCCTTGTTTCGTGAAAATCGGTCCAGATTTAGATATAGCTCCCTTTTATTATAGAATTTGACGCACCAAGGAACCAGTGGACTAATAGGAACAAAACGTTCTGAAATTAGTATAACCTAACCTGTGACAAGTTTGTTTGAAATCGCTTAATATTTGGATAGAGCTTTCATATATATTTTCGCCCGATTTCAAGTAAATTGGGCATCAAACTCCTCAGTTAATCAGATTGACATCAAATTTTGCACAACTTACTAAATTGAGCATAGAATTACGTAGTTGCAATTTGTAGAAGTACAGACATAGCCCAACGGATGACCTATTTAGATTTGTTTGAAATCGATTTACATACTTTATGGATAGATCTAGGTAGATTTAGATAAATATCACATATGTTATTTCATATAATTTCATGATAATAGTCCTGTTTAATATACCCATAGTGGTGAAGGTTATCATATAGTCGGCACCGTCCGACTTTACTACTTTCCTTACTGGTTTATATTAAAACTAGCGGGCCCGGCAAACGTTGTCTTGCCTTAACAATATTGTTAAGAAATAATTTTCAGTATATCCGATTTGTTTTTCTTTTTTGTTCATATATTTCGCCATATACCGATTTTGATCGTTACATTGGAAGCTATAGCACACACGCAATAAATTTAAATGTCATAGCGTAGTGAATTGAGTCTAGAATGATGAACTAAGTTTCGTGAAAATCGGTTCAAATTTAGATATATCTGCAATATATAGTTTCGTCCGTTTTTATGTAAATGATGCACCAAAACTCCTATATATTCTTCGATTTGCATGAAATTTGTCATATCGTACTGAACTTAGTCTAGAATTATATGTGCTAAGTTTCGTCAAAATCGGTTCAGATTTATATATAGCTGCTATATACATTTTCTTCCGGTTTCAGGTCAATTGTGCACTAAAGACCCAACGTTTTTACTATTGACACACAATTTTGTACAATGTACTGATATACAGTGAGTGTAAAAAGTATTTTGCCTCAATATAAATTTGAAAAAATTCCAATATATACGCCTGAAGCCAGCAAACTAAAGATGGAAAATGACTTATGTATGATGGAGTACATTTGTGGACATATTTAGATCGTATTTCTGCACGAATCACAGCGAAAGTCCTATTGGTCTCGAAGATATCGGCCGAAATATATAACAACCCAAAAATGTTTATGACAAAAAAGTATTTTGCTTTTTATTATTATTTTAGAAAAAATTGTTACATAGAACACGTTTGGTCTTTTTATAGGTACCATTGCGGGTAACGACATACTACAAGTGATTTGGCAACGATTCCAATAAATCACGGCATTTTTTCGCGAGTATTTTCTCACATTTACGTTCAATACATTATCCAGCAATATTTCATTCAATATTTGGTAATTGCTCGTCCTAATCTCAAAATCAGAGTATTAAATATAGTCGTCGCGGCTTCAAAACACCCCAAATATGTTAAGAATAATAAAAAGGAGGTTTTACAAAATATATCGCGAGGACAGGACCTTAAAAACTATTAAAACCAAAATCCGACAAACAAATTATTTAAAAAAATATCGCGAAACCCCATTTTTCTAACTTCGAAAACTTTATGGTTCATTTTTACTGATCTAGGAACCAAAATATACGATGAAAATAGCAATAAGGAGGTCAGATTCAAATATATGGACGGTTTTCTGGCAATAGAAATACATCTTATTTCGAAAATAAATACATCGACCCGTTTATTCTCTACTGCATTTTATTCGCAACTGATGGTGTTAATCGGAGATAAAATATAGAATGCGTATTCGCCACCAGCAACCACAGTTTTTCAAAAGACAATAGGATTTGACGAATAATGATGTTTTCTCCCAACTTCATGTATTGGTTTTTATTACTATTGCTTTAGAACTGTTCATATCTTTGAATCTGACCCCCTTATTGGTATTTACATTGCATATATTGGTTCCTAGATCAATATTACTGGACCATACAAATTTCGAAGTCAGAAAAATTGGGTTTCGCGAATTTTTTTTTAAATAATTTGTTTGTCGGATTTTGGTTTTTATAGTTTTCAAGGTTCTGTCCTCGCGTTATATTTTGCAAAACCTCTTCTTTATTATTCTAAACATATTTGGGATGTTTTGAAGCCGCAATGACTATGTTTAATACTCTCATCTTAAGATTAGGACGAGAAAATACCAAATATTAAATGAAATACTGATAGAGAATATATTGAATGTAAATGTGAGAAAATACCCACGAAAAAATGCCGTGATGTAATGGAATCGTGGTCAAATCGCTTATAGTATGTGGTTAACCGCAATTGTAACTATAAAAAGACCAAACGTGTTCAATGTAACATTTTTTTCTAAAATAATAATAAAAAGCAAAATACTTTTTTGTCATAAACATTTTTGGGTTGTTATATATTTCGGCCGATATCTTCGAGACCAATAGGTCTTTCGCTGTGATTCTTGCAGAAATACGGTCTAAATATGTCCACAAACTTACTCCATTATACATAATTCATTTTACATCTTTAGTTTGCTGGCTTTAGGCGTATAAATTGGAATTTTTTAAAATTTTTATTGAGGCAAAATACTTATTACACTCACTGTATCTCGACACGAAATTTTGCAAAACGTATCAAATTGACTCTTGAATGACGTTATTACGTGTTGGTGAAATTAGCGCAGATGCAGACACAGCTTGCATATATATTTCAAACGGGTGTCTGATTGAGATTGAATTTTGAAGAGTGCGGCCTACCGAATAGCGTGTGCCAAGTTTCCTCTACATCGATTTACTTAAATTAGTCCCATTGTACTCAAACGACTCTAAACTTTCCCGAATGAAATGAAATTTAGCGTAGGTCTCAGAAAGGCATAAAGACCACATAAAGAAAATGTTAATAGCGTAAGAAAAAACAGCAAGGGCCTTTGATAAACATCCGAATATAGTCAGGTTTATTCAAATTGTAGACCCTTCTACGCTATTCAACAATTCAAGTTACAATGAAAAATATTTAAAAGTATATGAACAAATTTGAAGTATAGAACAAATAAAAATCAAAACATACTTAGTTTAAATTATGAATAACAAGTTTTAATTTCACACAGTATAAATGTACCCAATATTTCGATGAGACAAATTTTCACCGTGTTAAAGTGTATACACCCTCATTAGCCATAAGGCTAAGGGTATAATTATCCATTAAAAAAATCGAAAATTTGTGTTATGGTTTACATTATGGTTTAGATAATCTGTTTTTAGAAATGTCGGTGTAGGTCAACTTTTTGGTATGTTCCCCATATTATTATTTCTAGTACCTGCCAGTATATTAATGGTGGAGGGTATCCAAAGTTCGGCCCGGCCGAACTTAACGCCTTTTCACTTGTTTATATTAAAATAGTTATATGATTTTTTCCGTGTGTTGCGGTTGGGTAGTCGTTACGGGGAATAATCCATTTTTACCCTACAAAGACTATTTAGCCATCTGTTGTAAGCATTCCGCCTTCTAAATATATTGTGATAAAAAAACTCTAACATGACAATAATGAAATATATCGGCAGACATTTAGGCATCTCTTCAATATAAACAATCAAAATACTGGGTTCAAAATTGGCATATACCGGTCATTCATAGAGGCATAGGCATAGCCCTCATATAATGATATCCCCAAATATTCACTATTTCCTACTCTATGTAATCAATATTGGTCCCCCTTTAGGCATACCCTCATATAACTTTGTAATCTAAATTACAGTAGTGTGAGGATTTTATACTCTACCATGCGTTATCTGATTTTAGGAAAAATCCCCATTAAAGATTGCTGAAGTTTGTATTTGGTGTACATAATGGTTTACATAAACCGGTTTGTAGAATTATCGGTATATGCACACTTTTTGGTATGTTCCCTATAATTTCATTGAATGTATCTGCCAGTATAACTATTGTGGGGGGTATCCAAAGTTCGGCCCGGACGAACTTAACGCTTTTTCACTTGTTTATTATTTAAGCCGAAAATAATTTTTAAATAAAATAATTCAAAGTAGGGTAATATTGACCACTATAAAAAACGGGGCTTTTCATGGGGAATAGTTCGTAATACAGGCCCACATTAAAAATATTTCTGCGAGGAGGTATTCTACCTCGCTTAAAGAGTTGTCAGAAAATAGAAAATAGGTTTCACATATATACTGGATTTTATGACCAATATTTTGGATAGCGGACCATTCAAAAATTCAAATATAACTATACAGTTTAGATAATACACACCCAAATTGCAAACAAGTGAACCTAGGCTTGAGTTTTCAAATTTTAAATATAAAATTTTATTTTTCCTAAAAAAAAACTTTTTATTATTTTTTTTTATGGCAACTACTAACAATATCTTAAATTCTAAACAATTAATGTTTACGTTTTTTAGATGACGGTAAACCGCTGTCAAATTCAGATATTGTCAATACCCTGGAGGTGGGTATCATTTTGGCCAATCTATTTGGTTCGGGACGATTCAAATTTCTTACGGCTCCCGTTACGGTGGTACCAAAACGATGTTTTCTTGCCTTGCGTTCCAATTTGATTTTCTCGGGATCTCTGTTGAAAGAAAATAATAATAATAATTTTATTATATTATCAATGTTTAAAAATGAACATAATGTGCCATACCTTTCCGTGTATGTTAAACGATTTGTGGGCAATGCTGGCTTAGGCATTGTATGTTTCTTCACAAACGACGTGGGTTGATCCTTTAGACCGAAACTTTTGGCAAAATGACCCATATGGGCATTTTTCACATTGAAAATTGGTTTCAATTCCTTGGGGAAAGTGGTGTAGAATTTTGTCCATGACACAAATGCTGTAAAGGGAAGAAAGAAAAATTAAAATTTAATTCGGTAAATAACTTCGAAATATAAATTAAATATTGGAATATAAACCTCATTATAATCACACAGTCTATCGAAGGAATTGATATAAAGAGCTAAATGTGACAATGGGTTGTATTGTGACTGCAATCAAGTTTGAAGATGAGTCCACGTTTAAACATATCCCCCAAATTGACGGTGTTTTGAGGACTTTGGAAAAGGGCTTTCAACCGAATTGACTGTAATTGGAAATATTGGTTTTCCATTGGTTGGAAAATCTTCGTCTTAGAAATTATAAACATCGCTCCACGAACAATGGGCTGATTAGGAACTTAAACCCATATCAGTATCTATAGAATCTAACAAATATAATGAACTCCATATTAAAGGCCACTCATTCCCATGTCAGCGGAATATTTCCCCCCACTTTACTTCGTTAACTTTGTTGCTTACAAATTACCACGATTTTGTTGTCAATTAAAAAACTTTAATTTGTTTTTTATTTCAAAACCAACAACATCCAGTGGTTTTTATATAAAAAAATCACACAGAAAAAATACAAATTTATATTAACCAGCAACGCTGTAATCATTCCAACTCAAAAGGACATTAATTTTGTAATTATACTGAGGATTGTTTTTCACTCTTTTTCTGGCCGCCGCCGACGACCTGAAAAAATACGAAATAAAAATGTTTGGGGAAAATCGAAATGAAACAACATTATTTTTCCAATTATAAGTTGCCAACCACACCATATCATCATAACATAGTTCGGGTGTGGGTAAATGAATGACAGCGGACAGTCAAAGAGATGCATTTAAGTAACGAAAGGGTTGGTGGGTTGGTTGGGCCCGAATACATTTGTATGGGGAATTCTTCTCGTAGATAAATAACTGCGGAAAAAACAAAAAAAAAAAACGTTATTCACAATATTTTCGTTGTTGTTTTTGTTGTAATCCTTTATTAAAAAGTTATATTTTATTTTGATTGCGTGTATTTATATGACGGGCACGACAGACAACGACAGGACTCGCACACAGTCTATTTGCCGTTACGAAATTGGATTGGATGGCCACTTGATGGATTGATGGCTGACATATATCGTTGCTGATTTGATGTACAGGGCGGGGGGTGATGTTATTTCTCACGATGGCAATAACGGTGATGATAGTAATTAAGAGTCCATTAAAATTATTCCAAAGAAATAACGCAGGTACCGCGCAACAAAACCCCAATATAAGTTTTGATTAAATGTCATCAAAACATGTTTAAACAAAATTAATGATATCGAAAATGACGAGTTTATCCCAAATATTGGAAAAGGTAAATTAAAGGCTTACATGAGAATTAATAAAAAGTAGCAAATAAATGTGTGGGAACAAACACATTCACAATCCACAACATGGAAAACATAAAAGCAGCGACGTATACGACTCCAAATAAATCGTATAAGTAACAATCACAAATCCGTTTCGTTTGGTTCAGATGTCTGCATTACTCTAAGTCCAACACCTAATAGAACCGCTAATAAAGGGGAATCATACCGACAGATTAATCTTCTTTCGCCAGTAGCCAAGGTTCCGTTCTTGCTACACATCATCATGGTTTCAAGAAAACATATAGAACAGATACTGTTTTGCAAGAAGTGATGTACAATATTACCAATTGACCGTAATCTGCAATGACCCCCTTTACGGATCATTCTGGCAGCCTTAGATTCGACGTATACGTTTCCACGACAGAGGAAACTACGATCCGAAACGACTCGAGTCTTACTCGGCCAACGTCTGTCACCTCAGCTCATTGTGTAAAAGCAGTAGGACTGCTACAACAATTCAGCGCTAATATCCTCCATCACGAATTCGATCTTTCTCTTGATGATCGCCAAACCTTCGTTGAGTTCCTCGGCCAAAAATCCAAATGACAGGCACGCAAGGCGGTGTCATATCTCCTTTTTTGTTCAGCATATATCTTGTGAAACTTCTCCCCCAGATATTTCAGTGGTGTCGTCGTACGCCGATGATTGTAAAGTAATTTCTCCGGGCGTTAACATTACCAATAAGCACCAACATATTCAAACTATTTAGCCACAATTACTAAATACTTGGAAGAGAGAAGACAATATAGAACATGACATTTCTTTCGAAGGTAAGCATATTCCCACCGTCAACAATCCAAAAATTCTTGGGATTATTTTCAATAATCACCTTCATTTCTCCCCGCCCTCCAATTACACCAACCAGAAGGTGGAAGCTGGGAAAAAAGTTTTAAAAGCTCTGGAGGGCACCTTATCGGGTAAAGATATGTAAACATTAGTAACAACATTTAAGGTGATCCTAAATTATGCTTCCCCGGTCTGAACTTCCATAGCGCTACAGAGTCCAGATACCTGCAAACATCTCAAAATAATTTACGCCTAAATGCAGTGTTTTTTGTCAAGATGAAAAGCGTCGGTCACAACCAAGAGGGGGTCGGGATGCTGTTAGCAACATAATGGCATGCTATCTGCAGTGTA